CATGCTTGCCAGGCAGGCACTCAGTCCACCAAGCTATCTCCCCAGCTCAGTGCTAGGTACTCTTGTTCAGGATTTTAACTATCCCTTGTAGAACCTTGGCAAACCGGGGTTACTCTGCCAGCTAGTAAATGCTCATAGAGCAGCTACCACTCTGAAACAGAAGACAAGTTTCCCCAGCACTTTGGTGAATCCTCATTGAAGCCTACAGTTGATGGTATGTTGACCAGAGAGACAGCTGGATTTCTTTCTGGAGACTGATCTCTGGTTCTATGGGCCAACAGAAACTGAGAACACCTGAGGGGTCATGGCCAGGGCTACTCTCTGGCGACTACCCAAAGGTTCCTTGGTGGAAACTGGCTCGTGACTACTAAAAGGTCTCCACTTACCTATTGTACTTTTATCTCCCTTTGCTAGTAAACTAGGAAATCTCCCTCAGCTTTTCAGTAGAACCACTTCAATTAGCCACTCCTTTAGAAATTAGGCTGAAGCAGTTTGCAGTAGCTTACAGACTACAGCGGCTATCAGGGAAATGATTTACATTTGTGCCTTACATGTTAACTAAGCGTAAAGAGATGTTTACCTAGGTGATTAGATGGAAAATACAAGTATCTGGAGATTTGGTTCAGTTGCATGGGGCCAAATTCCTCCAGTCCATTGTTCTAGCTATCTCTAGAAGTGACCTTTGTAGCCTGAAAAATGCTCTGTTTCCAACTCACCTTGTTAAGGAAAATGGTAAAAAAAAAATGTATTATGTTCAGATTTTTGTTTGCATTACAAAATAGTCATTATTGTCTAGTTCTGAAATGTAAAGGTGAACAAGCTGCAGAAGTTAGGAGTATGGGGGCTGGGGAGATAGCTCAGTGGAATCCTGAGTTCAATCCTGGTACCACCAAAAAAAAAAAAAAAAAAAAAGAGAGAAGTTAGGAGTATGAGCAGAAAGGAATTTGTCTCAGTTGATGGGAATCACTCAGAAAGTGTTTCATAATAAAAAGGGTGAAGAATGGAAATACAGACAGAGAAAAGTGATGCTAGCAGCCTTCGGGAAGGAGGGCCAGTCAGAAAATGGAAAAAGTCAAGCTTCCCTAGACCCAGACAGAGAGAAAGGACATTTCAAGCCCAAATGTCCCAAGCTGCTTGAGAAGGACAAAAGAGTATTTCTGATGGAATCATAGGAAGCTTCAGATTGAGATCATGGGCTTTCGCCCCTCAGCCCAAGGGAACTCATGTTAACTGTCAATATGAGGGGAAAAGCCTGTTAGCCTTTTGATAGATGCTCCTGCAGATTTGTCAGTACTTACCCAGCTGGAGGCTCCATTGGCCAACCAGAGAGTACTGTTTTCCAAAGGACCTATAAAAAGTTCTGACTAGTCTTTATAATTACAAACTTTAGGAGGTTATTACATTCTAGGCCCTTTTTCTAATATTGCGATAGCTGTTCAAGATATTGGACAACAAATTAATGATGTCAGACTCTGAAGCCCCCAGGACCTTGTCCTTCTCGTCCTTATGGGAAGCCACTATTAGCACCTCTTGGTGGAAATCTTTGTTGACTATATTCATAATTATTCTGTTATTTGGCCCGTGAATAATTGTTTCTTTGGCTTTGTCTCCTCCAGACTCAATATATGCCTACCCGAGATAAAAAATGCCTGTTGTCTATTGAGGGCCTTTAGATAGAACCTCTGAAGAGTATCTCTGACTGCCGGTTCACAACTACAGCCCCTTTCAGACTGAAGAAGCTAGAACGGTCATCACCTAGTGCTCCCTCATGGCAGTTCAGGCTACTTCTTCAGAAGGGGGAATGTTGTAGGCAGCTGAATTAGAAATATTATAGGCAGTCAGACAGAGCCAGGCCCTCAGGGAGACAGCACTAAAGACAAGATACCTTGCAACTGTGAGAGAGATGGATATTCCTGCTGCGTGACCAGACCTAAAGACCAAAGATCAAACAAATGCTGACCTCCCTGAAGATAAGCATCCAGGATTGATCATCACTTGAAGGGAGCCAGGAAGAGTCACTAATCCAACTGCTACTGGCTGGTTACTGGATAAACTTCTGTTCTATATCCACGCCTGCTTGCTATGTGATTCACTTTCTCATTTGGATTTAATCAATTTCACCTGAGCAATGGTGCTTACAATCTTATTGGTTGACCACAGTTTTGTCCCACCTCATGCCCACCTAAGTGAGCTCCCATGTTCTCCACCTTAGACCCACCTCACTGCATGGTTTTACTCTATAAAAGTCCCCAGGTTTTACAGAACACGAACTCATCCCAGGTACCTTTCAGGTTGGCAGTTTCATTTCCCTATATCACAAGGACTGAATCCTCTTATGCATAAACAGGGCTAATAATTAGTTGGGCATGGTGGTGCAGGTCTGTAATCCCAGCACTCAGGAGGCTGAGGCAGGAGAATCACTGACTGTTCAAGACCAGCCTGGGCTGCAAAGTGAGCTCAAGGCCAGCCTGAACTGCATAGCAAGACCCTGTGTCAAGACAAAAACTAAAACAAGGCCAATAGCCCCAGGTCTCAGCTCCCATCTGCCACCTCCTTACTTTCAGTACCTTCCCCAGCTTCCTACCACCACCCTGTCCTGAGCTGCTTCATTTTCATCTCAGACTGATAAAGGGTAAAGAAACTCCCAACTTGAAAGATACTGGGACAAGTTTGTGGTTTTTTTAAATTGAAGAATGAACAATGGAGGTTAACAGCAGAATATATCTATTGAAAGAAAGCTTCTGTCCAAGAGAGGAACAGAAGGGGACCCAAGTGGGTTACCAAGGACCTTCCCTTTTCTAGGGATTTTTATAGAGAAAAATCCACTACACAAGGCAGGTCCAAGATGAGAAACATGGAAACTCACTAGGTGGGCATGGGGTGGGACAAAACTATGGTCAGCCATTAAGATTACAAATATAACTGCTCAGGTGAAAGTGATTAAATTGAGATTAAGTGGGGAATTGAGTCATGCAATAAATGGACATAAATATAAAACAGGGACTTTTCCTGTAGGGGGTTGGGATTGAACGCTGGGTCTTCTTGCTGGGCAGGGGTTTATGCAAATGAGCTATCTCCCTAGCCTCCCTCACTTTTTTTTTTTTAATTTTATTTATTTGTGTGCGTTTGTGTGTGTGTGTGTGTGTGTGTGGCCAGCTCAGCCCACCAGGGGGCGGGGCTGGCTGGCATGTGGTGCTGGGGGATTGAATCGCGGTCCCTCTGCTTTGCTAAACTTGTTCTAACTAGGTGCTTTAGACCACTGAGCCATTCACCAGCCCCTCCCTCACTTTTTTATGTTAAGATTTATTTATGTATTTGGTATAGGGTCTCGCTATACAACTCAGACTGGTGATCCTCCTATCTCAGCCTCCCCAGTGCTAGGATTACAGGCATGGGCCACCACACCTGGTTCTGGTGGCTGGCACAGGATAGGGCCGCAGAGCATGCAGTACTGGGGATTGAACTGGGTCCTTGCACTTACCAGGCAGGTGCTTAGACCACCAAGCTATCTCCCCAGCCTCCTTGCTTTTCTAAAGTGATTGATACCTATTTAAAATATAAATCCCTAATGTCTATCCCTAGGGAGGTATGTGGGTGCATTTGTTTAATCTTTTGTCTCCAGGTCTGGTCCACAGCAGGAGTGCCTGTCTTTCCCACAGTTGTAAGATATTTCGTCTTCCATAGTGGCTCTTCCGGGACCTAGCCCTGCCTGGCTGCCTATAATATTTTTATCTAACTCAGCTGCCTACAAGACCAACTGGAGACCCTTTTCTTCACACACATCACGTTGGTGCCTTTGGCTCTGCACCTGAAACCTTTATATACTAATATCGCACTCTGTTTGACTGGCTCTCTGATCAATCCTACAACGCAGCTACCACAGCATTCATTCTGTAGAGGAACTCAGGCCACTACGTTTGAGAATTTTGCCAAAGGACACAGGCTTGAACAGGGCCTCGCCTTCCTTCCGGGCTCAGATACCATTCAAGCCTCAGTACTCCTGGGCACCATCTCAAGCCCCCCGGGGCCTTGGAGTGTGCTGCCCTGCCAGGGTCTCCTCCCTAAAAAAAAGTTCCCCATCAAGCCCCGTGACTCACCTCATGCTGGGGGGCGGGGGGAGGGGGAGACTCAAAAGTAGCATTTTACTATCACCCAACGGCTAATCCGTTTAAGTGAGAGCTGGAGCCGGAAGACCCAAGTCCGGGCGGTATCCCTAGCTACTCACTGGCCCTCATTAAACCCATTAACAAGCATCTACGCAAATGAATGCCTGTCCTCTGCTTAGTTCTTTGAATTCGTGGGGTGTGCCCTCCCATTTAGAGGCTCAAGAATGGTACCCAAGCCAAAGGTCAGGAGGTCCCCCCTTCCTGGCCTCAAGAAGTCCAGGAAATTGTTTAGTAACCTCTGACTAGAATTCCGGAAGGAATTCTTCACGGGCCAGGTGAAGATCCCAGCTCCACTCCCACGCTTGCAACTGAAAGGGCATAATGCTCTCGCCCACATGGGTCCCGCGTCCTAACAACGCCGGTCGCCCGTCCAGGCACTACCTCCCCATCCACCCACCCCTCACAGCCCCTCAGGTCAGAAGCTGAAGTCGGGAGACTTAAAAGTGTAATCTTAAACTGTCCTACCAATCTGATTTGAAACTGTCTCATTGCTATTTGTTTATCAATAAAATTATGAGAGTAAAATTTAAAAAAAAGTTTGCATTAAAAAAAGTGTAATCTTTTCAAATCCAGCCACCCTGAAAGATCCTGGCCTGGGAGAGTTGACCGTCTGGAATAAGGATGGAGAGAGGGCAAAGGGAAGGGGCGTCTCAGGCCGGCGCACCCCACTTCCCAGTATGACCTCCCGGGGTGAGTTCAGGGAATCTGCACCTCCCGACCCCGCCTCTCTCCAGCGCCCGCCTCCTCCCCGCGGCGCTTCCTGCCCCCACCCCGCCCCTCGGCGTTATTTAAGGCGCCCCCCTGCCGCCTGGCGAAGTCCGGTAGGGCTACGGCGGGCGCCGCTCTGCCGACGTCCTCACCTCTCTCTGGACTGACCAGGCAGGAAATCGGTAAGTCGGGTAGTTGGGGTAGTTGCTACGGGGCGCACGCGGGTAAAAGAACCACACCAGCAGGCAGTGTAGTTACCTTTCCGTCGGTGTTTACTGCAGGGGCGGCAAAGGGCCCCGAGAGTGTTCCCACTCCAAGTTCCCAGGGCGCCAGAGAGCCAGTTAGTCGAACCCCGGTCTGGGTTCCAGGGCCTGGCTCAGATAGCTTTGCTTTTAGAAAGAAGCATCTTCCCAGTCCTCTCTCCCCACCTTCCTTTCCCCCTAAAAGTCCTGGGAACTTTGTAGCCTGTGCCTCCACCCTTCAATGACAATAGCTTTCAAGAGTAGTATTTGGTAGCAACTGGTGGGGGTGGGGAGGGCAGCACCAAGCGACCCTTCCTAGGCTGCAGGTGGCCATCACTGCGGACAGGTGCGGCTCATGGGGATGCTGCTTTCACCTGGGCAAATACGGAACTCCCCTCCAGCCCCTACCACCGCAGTCACAAGCCGAAAGGTTAGATTGAGGCCCGCTGGGTGAGATAGGGTGGAAGCAGGGGCCCGAGGCTTTGTGCCCCATGAGAACCCATAGATAACACCTCCCCTATGCCCTTATCTGGGAGTAGCCAGCCTTCGGCAGAAGGAAGGCCATGCATAGTTGTGGGGCTGGATTTGTTTCTCCAGTTGTTCCCATAGGCAAAGGATCCCCCAGGCAATCCAGAGCTCCTTGGGCTGCAGTCCCCCTGGGGCTCTGGAGGGGGGCAAGCAGGCACAAGCTTATGATTAGACAGGGACCTTAGCTGCCCTGTAGCCTTCCACTGAGGGAAGTAAAATGGGGGGGGGCACAGTTTGGCCACAGCCAAAGCTCAGCTTTGGTCCCAACTCCCTGCTGAGCGTGGGTCTCCAGGGGCAGGGCAGATACCCCAGCACCTTGCCCCCAACATCCCCAGCTCACAGATTTGATGCTAGGACAAAGTGAGAAGTGCCCTGCAGACACAGCTCTGTCTCCTTGCAGACTGAGGCCAAGGCCAAGGGCCGAGGCCGAAGCCAAAGAAAGCCATGGGTGACTGGGGCTTCCTTGAAAAGCTGCTGGACCAGGTCCAGGAGCACTCCACTGTGGTGGGCAAGATCTGGCTGACTGTGCTCTTTATCTTCCGCATCCTCATCCTGGGCCTGGCGGGCGAGTCGGTGTGGGGCGACGAGCAGTCGGATTTTGTATGTAACACGGCCCAGCCTGGCTGCACCAACGTCTGCTATGATCAGGCCTTCCCCATCTCTCACATCCGGTACTGGGTGCTACAGTTCCTCTTTGTCAGCACGCCCACCCTGATCTACCTGGGCCACGTCATCTACCTGTCGAGACGAGAGGAGCGGCTGCGGCAGAAGGAGGGAGAGCTTCGGGCCCTGCCGGCCAAGGACCCACAGGTGGAGCGGGCTCTGGCAGTCATAGAGCGTCAGATGGCCAAGATCTCTGTGGCAGAGGACGGTCGCCTGCGGATTCGTGGGGCATTGATGGGCACCTATATGACCAGTGTGCTGTTTAAGAGCTTGTTAGAGGCTGGCTTCCTGTACGGCCAGTGGCGTCTCTATGGCTGGACCATGGAGCCAGTGTATGTGTGCCAGCGTGCACCCTGCCCCCACCTCGTGGACTGCTTTGTGTCTCGGCCCACAGAGAAGACCATCTTCATCATTTTCATGCTGGTGGTTGGCCTCATCTCCCTGGTCCTCAACCTGCTGGAGCTGGCGCACCTGGCATGCTGCTGCCTCAGTCGGGGGCTGAAGGCACAGCAGGGCCAGGATGTGCCTCCAGCCCAGCCCACATCCTCAGACTCTTACCCTGACCAGGTCTTCTTCTACCTCCCTATGGGCGAGGGGCCCTCGTCCCCCCCGTGCCCCAACTACAGTGGGCTCTCATCCAGTGAGCAGAACTGGGCCAACTTGACCACAGAGGAGAGGCTGGCTTCTTCTGGGGGCCCCCTCTTCCTGGACCCGCCCCCACAGAGTAGCCAGAAATATTCCAGTCGCCCCAGTAGCTCTGCTTCTAAGAAGCAGTATGTATAAGGGGCCTTGGGCTTACGTCACTCAGCAGAGGTATCCTGAGCAGTTGTCTGGCTGCCCCCTCCTGGAAGGTTCTGCAGACCTAACTGGACTAAGAAGTAGCAGTTGCTGGCCAGAGTGCCTCTGGGTATTAGCTCTGGAACACTAGGGGCCTTCCTGGGACCGTGGGGCACTACGGGATCCTCTCCAGGTAGGGTCTCTTGACCAAGAGATTAAGGGATTATTTCCACCTAATCCAGAGGGATTTTGCCTCTGCCGTTATGGAACATTCGCCTCTGCCCGGGTTGTGCACACATCCTCTTCTCGTGGGAAAAGACTGCAGGATCAGCCTTGGTCACAGAGACAGAGCCGTGCCAGACCCAGCCCGGGCTAGAGCACTCGTTCTCATCACTCCTTCCTAGTTCTATTGTTCGTGCTAGTGAAATAAACAGGACTTGATCACAAGTGAGGTGCTTATTGATGCTGCTATGGTGTGCCTCAGGATGGTGTTGGGGAGTGTTATATTGTTCAGGCTTCCCTTTGTTTAGTCCTGTGTAGCCCGCGACTGGTCCCTGCTGCCCCAGCTCCAGCCGGAACCCTAAACCCTCACGCTCCATCCTGCTGCCTCAGGGCTCTGAGCCCTGTTTCCTTTTGAAATACCTGCACCTTTCCTTTCCACATAGGCCCCTGCTAATCAATTTGTTCAGTCATTAGTGGCCAAAGTAGTGTCCCTTTCCCCTCTGTCCCCTGTAATGTGCTGCCTTACTGGATATATTGCTCCATGTGTCCACTTTGCTTCCTGTCCACCAGATGAGACTGACAGGCCAAATATACCCCTTGTGCCCTGCACCCACTCCAACTAGCCGTGGGTCCCTTGGGGTTGCAGAGGGAGGTTTAATTCATTTGTCCTCCCTACCTTGGCCCTTTCTATTCTGCCCAACATAAGGAGCAACTCGAGGGTCCGCCTCATAGCTCCTCTCTGTATCTGAAACTCAAGGGGTAACCAGCCAAAGGCAGTCTAGAGCATCCTTCCTGGACACTGGCAAGCCCTGTGCCCCTTAAGCACTCATGACTGTGCCAAAGGCGGGGCTGTGGTGCAAAGGGAAGAGCACAGTGGACTTCGGCACCAGAAGGTCCTGGCCTGGGGTCCATCACTTCACCCTGCATCTGTTTTCTGTAAACACCTGCCTAGAAGTGTTGAGAAACGGGCACATCCTTAAGTGCTGCCAGGGAAACACTCAATCCCCAGCCCAGCATAAGCTCAGACTATGAAGTGAGAGATTGGGTTAGAACAGGCAGGAAGTAGTTCACACCTCAGAAGGGCATGGCTCCAGGAGGCCGAGGCGCTCTTCTGAGGGCACCCCGAGGGAGGGTGAAAGCTCAGGGTTTGTGGCCTCTTGGAGTCCATCCTACTTGAAGCCGCTGAGAGGCTGTATTTCCAGTATCCCTTACCGCTCCTAGCTTGGAAAGGGGGAAGGAGAAAGATTTAAGTGAGAGAAGAGAGGATCCTTCCTCTCTGCACAACTCACCCCCCCCCCCCCCCCCGGGCTTGCTGTGGGGCTGAAGGTCTGTGTGTCTGGGCATTTGAAGTGACCTAGGCTGGAGAGCACACACATGAGGGCAAATGGGCTGGGGCTTAAAGGTAAGGCTGGGGTGGTTGGGGGGGCCCTGTGGTTGGGGAGGAACGAGGCATTACAGAGATAGTGTGGTGGGGATTGGCTGAGAACGCCATCTCACCTGTCTTAGTTTGCTAGAGCCGCTCTAACAGTACCAAAAGCTGAGTGGCTGAAGCACCAGAAGTTGTATTTTCTCTTAGTTCTTCAGGCTACAAAGTCCCAAATCAAGGTATGTGAAGGCCTGGTACCCCGAGGGCTCTGGGGGAGACTGTTCTGTGCGTCTCTCCTGGCCTCTCGGAGATTTCTGGCCATCCTTTCCTTAGTTTTTAGAATCACCTCCATCTCCGCCTCTGTCTTCACATGACATTCTCCTTGAATGCATGTCTGTCTGTGTCCAAATGTCTCCTTTTATGGGATTCTGGGGGTTGAACTGAGGGCCTTGTGCATGCAAGGCAAGAGGTCTACCACTGAGTCATATCTTCAGTCCCTAATTCAGGCACTTGTGTCCACTGAGCTTTATCCCCATCTTTTAATTTCTCCTTTTTATAAAGACAATAGTCTTACTGGATTTGGACCAGTGATTTAAAATTAAAGACCTTATTCCCAGATAAGGTTACCTTCTGAGGGACTGGGAATCACAACTTCAGTGGAAGGGGGCAAAATTCAACCCATCCCCCAACTGTACCGGTCGCTACTCCAAACTCTCAGAGGCTGAGAACATGAGGTCCATGTTAGACACAGCATCTCTGTGGTAGCAGGCCCCTGCAGGTTCGTGGCTCCTTCCTCTGCTCCCTTCCCCCTCCTGCCAGCCTGTTTCTGACCATTCCCAAGGCCTAGGCCTAAACTCTCAGGCCCCGACCATCTGTAGGCCACTGTATCTCCTGCAATTAGGAGATGGGACTCCTGCTTCCCTCCCTCTCCTGCTCACTTGATGATGGGCTCTTTCCATTCTCCAGGCCTCAGTTTTCCCACTGAAATTAAAGCGTTGGGTGACAGGGCCATTGGGTGCCAGGATCGCTGCATGGGGATTTCTCACTAATCATTGGTTTGTGGCACATGACTGATCCAATGTTTTTCATGAATCAGAAGAGCGTCTAAAAAGATCAATTCTAGCCCCTTGAATTTGCATTGCCTTCCTGAGTAAGAAACAGAACTGGGATTCCTCAGAGTGCACTGCAATTGTGCGTAGCCTAAGGTCCTCCCATCTGTGACTCCCCAGAGCCTGTGAATGTGTGCATTGCACACTAACAAGGCAGAGAGTTGCTAGGCTCGGGGTGATCGCAAGACTTCTTCCCAGGCTCGGAAGACAGCTCGGTGGACTAAGCGCCCAGGGTTCGATCCTCTGCCACACCCGGCCACTAAATTCAGGCGCAGTGGCGCATGCCTATCATCCCCACAATGGGGAGGCTGAGACAGGAGGATCATTCTGAGTCCAAGCTGTGTATGAGACCCTGTACCAAATAAATAAATCTTAAAAAAAAAAAAAAAAAAAGAAAGAAAGAAAGAAAGAAAGAAAATTCCTCCCAGCCTAACGCTCTGGGTCACGGGTGGCTGGGCTGCTGGCTGACCTTATGGCTCTGCCACTGACTTCCAGTGCCTGGCTCAGGGGACCTTTCTTTCCCTCTCATCCAAGCTTCAGCCTGTAGCTTGCAGAAAATGCTCCTTTAAGCTTTTTTCCTTCCTTTCTTTCTTTTTTTTTTTTTTTTTGGAACTGGGGATTGAACTCAGGCCCTTGTGTTTGACAGGCAAGTGCTTATTCTACTGAGCCATCTCCCCGGCCCCTCTTTCTTTTTATTTTTATTTATTTATTTATTTATTTATTTATTTATTTATTTATTTTTTGGTACCAGGGATTAAACTCAGGACCTTGCACTTGCCAGGCAAGCACTTATTCCACTGAGCTATCTCCTCAGCCCCTAAGCTTTTCTTATAAACCTTGGTCCTTATACCAGGAAGCCACACGACACTCAGCTGTCCCATCCTTCGAGGCAGGCACTGCAGCCACATTCAGATGGCCACTGGACTGGCACTCCACTTTCCTCCAATTGGCCCTGGTTCTCAGAAGTCTCTGGCCAACCTGCTGATGTTTATCTGCTTGCCTTTAACAGGAGCCACCCCTATGAGCTGGATGTGATAGCCCATTGATAGAATGCAAATGATCACCTCTTGCCCCAAACCTTCTAGTAATCCAAGCTAGGATCACACCAAATTTTCTCTTTTCTTTTCCTTGCCTTTCTATGTATTTGATACAGGGTCTCACTGCACAGCTCGAACTCATAGTGATCCTCCTGTTTTCAGCCTCCCCAGCACTAGGATTACGGATGCACACCACCACGCCTGGACTTGGTGGCCAGTTCAGCATGCCCAGGGGCACAGCCGGCATGGCATGTGGTGCCAGGGATCAAACCCTGGTCCCTGTGCTTGCCTAAGCAGGCACTTAGTCCACTGAGCTACCTTGCCAGCCCTAATGTTCTATTTTATTCTCTTCTTCTTCTTCTTCTTCTTTTTTTTTTTTTTTCTCACAGAACCGAGGATTAAACTCAGGCCCTTGCACTTGCCAGGTAAGCGCTTATTCTACTGAGCCATCTCCCCAGCCCCCGATTCTCTTTTTTCATATATGGATTTTTTTTTCCTCAGACTTTTAAAGGCAATGAATGATCATTATAGACAACAGGTTTCACCATTCAGGGGTAACAACTGTTAGCAGAAGTCATTCCTTCTAGCCTTCTTCCATGCCCACATTCAAATAAAATCAGAAAAAAAAAAAAATCAGAGTAAAAGTGCCTACAATTTTGTATGCTGTTTCTTTCATTTTACATTAAGTCACAAGCTTTTCCCTACATTATTATCTTTGAAAATATTACTTAATGGCTATATATCAAGGCTTTTTCATTAGGTGTTTTTGGAGGGGTTTGAGATAGGTCTTGATGTGTAACACAGGCTGACCTTGAACTCACAGTGGTCCTCCTGCCTCAGCCTACTGAGTGCTGGAGTTACAGGTGTGCACCACCACTCCTGGCCTATCATTTGCTTCTCAACTGTGACCCCCAATATTGAATTTTTAAAATGTTTATAACAAAGGCTGGGGATATAGCTGAGAGGCACAAGCACCTGCGGGGCACAAGGTCCTGAGTTTGATTCCCGGTAGAGCCCCAAAATGTTTATAAATAGTGATCTTCTGTACTAAATTGTGCTGTGATATAGACACCTACACATTAAAGTTTTCCAAATGTCTCTTTCCTTCAAACAATGGTATTCCAAGAAGTAAAATTACTGGGTCAAAAGGTATGAAATTTTAAATTAAGAGAAATTTAGGGGCTTTTTAAAAATCAGATTGTGAAAGTGATTCCTTGTAGATAACCCAGAAACACAGAAAAATGCAAGCTAATTACAGAACTGAAAGTACAATACCAACTGCCTCCAAGTGGGGTGAAAAAGAGCTGACCCTAAACAGCGCCCCCATCCTAGGGGAGGTGGTCACCCTCCCCACCCTGTGGAAGGACAGAAATGATTCTCTAGAAAGGATAAAACAGTTTCAGGACAAGGAAACAGCATGCGCATGAGAGCAAGAGCAGGGGGAAATTACAGAGGAATTAAGTGGAAGCTTATGTACCGACGGGTGAGACTTCAGTGCCCTCACCCCATTCGATGCCCAGAACACTGGTCCTGGATAAAGCTAAAGAAAGAGGCTGATCCAGCCTGGAGATCTGGAAGCCCCCCCCCCCCCAGGAGGTGAACTACAAATCCCAAGCGATGAGAAGGCCTATCTAGAAAGAGCCAGGGAACAGCATTTCAGGCAGCAGCAATAGTACTTTCCAAGGCTCTGGAGAAGAAAAACCGTGCTTGAAA